AAAAAAAAAAAAAAAGAAAAAAAAAAAAAAAAAAAAAAAAAAAAAAAAGATATGTCTTTGTACTTGATTTTTTACATTTCAATTACAAATTGATTCGCGATTGATTTAAACCGGATACGTGTCGCAACAAAACTATATCACTCACGTTAAGGCTTTATGTAAGAATGGTTTTACAAATCTTTTTACATAGAAATTTGTTGCGTTCATGTGTCATGGGGCCCATTGTTTGTCAAATTATTCCACTATTCTCACATAATCCGTGTGAAGTTAATTTGAATGCAGCTGGATTTCTGTTGAACTTGATTTATTTTACTAAAGTCGAGCCTAAATAATCCAGTTTAAATATTAATTTTGCTTTGATACTAAAGACATTCTCTATGAACAAATAATGGAAATGCTACAGGAAACCGTCTCAGGTTACTTACGTAACCATGGTTCCCTGAGTAGGGAACGAGACACTGCGTCCTCTAGGTTTCTTGCCATGCTGCGGACGCAAGCTTCAGACGAAGAAGTGAATGATGTGTAGCTCCCGGCGCCTATTTATACTATAGTCGCGCCGGTAGTGACGTCATGGCTGTCGCCGGCCAACGAGTTGGTGTTTTTTCAATGTATGCTTCAGACACAGGTCACGACGAGGCGTTCCCCATAGCGACCCCTAGAGGACGCAGTTCGAAGTTCCCATGAAAGGGAACGTCTCAGGTTACTTATGTAACCATGGTTCCCTGAGTAGGGAACGAGACACTGCGTCCTCTAGGTTTCTTGCCATGCTGCGGACGCAAGCTTCAGACGAAGAAGTGAATGATGTGTAGCTCCCGGCGCCTATTTATACTATAGTCGCGCCGGTAGTGACGTCATGGCTGTCGCCGGCCAACGAGTTGGTGTTTTTTCAATGTATGCTTCAGACACAGGTCACGACGAGGCGTTCCCCATAGCGACCCCTAGAGGACGCAGTTCGAAGTTCCCATGAAAGGGAACGTCTCAGGTTACTTATGTAACCATGGTTCCCTGAGTAGGGAACGAGACACTGCGTCCTCTAGGTTTCTTGCCATGCTGCGGACGCAAGCTTCAGACGAAGAAGTGAATGATGTGTAGCTCCCGGCGCCTATTTATACTATAGTCGCGCCGGTAGTGACGTCATGGCTGTCGCCGGCCAACGAGTTGGTGTTTTTTCAATGTATGCTTCAGACACAGGTCACGACGAGGCGTTCCCCATAGCGACCCCTAGAGGACGCAGTTCGAAGTTCCCATGAAAGGGAACGTCTCAGGTTACTTATGTAACCATGGTTCCCTGAGTAGGGAACGAGACACTGCGTCCTCTAGGTTTCTTGCCATGCTGCGGACGCAAGCTTCAGACGAAGAAGTGAATGATGTGTAGCTCCCGGCGCCTATTTATACTATAGTCGCGCCGGTAGTGACGTCATGGCTGTCGCCGGCCAACGAGTTGGTGTTTTTTCAATGTATGCTTCAGACACAGGTCACGACGAGGCGTTCCCCATAGCGACCCCTAGAGGACGCAGTTCGAAGTTCCCATGAAAGGGAACGTCTCAGGTTACTTATGTAACCATGGTTCCCTGAGTAGGGAACGAGACACTGCGTCCTCTAGGTTTCTTGCCATGCTGCGGACGCAAGCTTCAGACGAAGAAGTGAATGATGTGTAGCTCCCGGCGCCTATTTATACTATAGTCGCGCCGGTAGTGACGTCATGGCTGTCGCCGGCCAACGAGTTGGTGTTTTTTCAATGTATGCTTCAGACACAGGTCACGACGAGGCGTTCCCCATAGCGACCCCTAGAGGACGCAGTTCGAAGTTCCCATGAAAGGGAACGTCTCAGGTTACTTATGTAACCATGGTTCCCTGAGTAGGGAACGAGACACTGCGTCCTCTAGGTTTCTTGCCATGCTGCGGACGCAAGCTTCAGACGAAGAAGTGAATGATGTGTAGCTCCCGGCGCCTATTTATACTATAGTCGCGCCGGTAGTGACGTCATGGCTGTCGCCGGCCAACGAGTTGGTGTTTTTTCAATGTATGCTTCAGACACAGGTCACGACGAGGCGTTCCCCATAGCGACCCCTAG